TCGGAGCGAAGAATGATGTCACGTCACATGAACAAGACCTTTATATAACTCGATAGACCTATTTTATACGCACGGTGATATTTAATATTATAAATAACAAAACTGAAATGAATGCAGAAATAGACGACTGCAATATATAACACATACTCAAATGTAGTTTTCTACAACCTTACATTTTTAAAATTAATTGTCTACAGGTGTTGATTTTTATAATAATTAATTTTATATTTCAAAACAAATAATGCTCGAATGCCAAGTATCACTAACAATGAGAAAAAAAGTTGTATCTCATCAAAATGAATAAAAAAAGATTCCTTTCTTTTTTTGTTTTACCCAAGTCAAATATACCTGACTTAAAGCAAGCTGTTGAGTTACCAAGGATTTATAAGATTTTGAGAAATTGTAAGACAAACCACATATTTCTAGAAATACTTTTACATGTGAGAATGCAAGTGTTAGTGTTCATATTTTTTTAGTTTATTAATTCCTTTTTGAATATGTCATCAGTTTGAATTAAACTCACTCAATTATGTTTTTAGTATCAAACCTTTCCATGGATATCAGCGAGTGTCTCCATGGCATTCTATAATTAGTCAGAACAAGAGAAGCCACAAGTACATAGAATGGGAGTTAGGTTCATTGCATAATATCACCATACATTGTTACTCTATTTTACCCTTAGTGTTAAATAAATTGAATATCATATTTTCAAACTTCGAAAGCATATTAGATGTCAATACGTTAACACCTGAATTTTATCACTGTAGGCCACATACTGTAGGTAATACCTTATGGTTACCATAGAAATAAACTATAATGTGTGATCAATCAAAAGGATTCTGGATTAAAAGACGTTTAGGCATAGGATGCAAGTAGCTATTTCATTTATATTAAAAAAGTATTAAGTTCTTGAAATGGCTCTCCTGGACGCAGTAATGCATGCAAATCTTTCCGAAATGGTCTGTGAGTTATAGTTCAAATCTGGGGGATCTTGCTTTCTGCATGTGATAATCACTGACCTCAAATGGAATTCCCTTGTGCATCGGAAACCAACAATTTCACAAAATTCCTATTATACACAAATCTATTATTACTGTAACAAAAATTGAGATTTAGCTTATAGATAATTTATTCGTGTGACTTTGCAAGGCAATGTGAGCAATCTCTGTCTGCATGTTCTAATACAAAGATCTGCACCAACATAACTGACACCGTTGTGTAAAGTTGTAAAACAGCTAATGTTATAATTTGATTATTTTAATAATAAAATTTGATAAAATTACCTTAAAAGCTAAGATAAAGATAAAGGCCATCAATAAAATTGCCTTCAATGTCTGTCAAGTTTAAAACCTGGTTTTGCATGAATTTGAAAGTGGATTTACTGTAAAGTACTTTATGTTCACTTAGAATTTATTTACGGTATTTTCACTTAAGGGATAAATCAGTAAAATGAAATCTAGTGAAAAACACTTTTCTTCCTATATTTAACATCCAATTCATCAAAAATCACTGAAAATAAACTTCATACAAAATGTCTTTTCAGAGATAACTAATTCCAGCATATATAGTATTTTACAGTAATCATTTGTAATAAAATGATTTGTAACATCAGAAACTTTACGTCAAATGATTAGAAAAAACTAAGTCTTAAATCGTGCAAAGAGGATGACATCAACGTTATGAGTGCTGATGTCGAGATTTGCACTCTCGCTTTACAACCAAAAGGATATTAGATTTTATAAAAAGAAACTTGAAATACAGCGACTGTTATAATAACGAACTCTACAGCTTTTACTACAGTTGGAAATTGAAATCCACGCGCTATTATGTAACATATAATGACTTGAATGTAAATGATGAAACCTCTTATGATCGCAATATATTATTAAAGGTACCGAACGAATACGAATAACCTCTGATCTTGTGTGATATAGATAACGCAATTTAAGAGTGATACTCGTATCAGATTTATTTGATTTACTGAGATTGTAGTGAGAGTGTATCAGAAAGTTCCCCTGCTCATAAAATAGGATCGTTTTTTAATAAAAACAATTTTTGATATTAACGCATTTCTTTATACAGATTTTCAGAAACCATAAAATTCTGTTGCAGTTAACATTACATTTCGGACAAAAGTCGCAGTGATTTTCAAGGAATTTTGTCCTTATGAACTCTGACAAACTATCGTCTCACAACATTGACAACAGTGAAAATAAAACGATTCACATCAGATGAAGACTGACGCATGAATCTTCAGTATTAAATGTAAAACTTTTAGTTTTCATAATTTTCCCCTCTACTTACATTTGTCAAAATCGTATTTGCTCTTTGCACTTCTAATAAAAGAATTATGGTATATCCCCAAACCTTAAAGTAGGTCACATGCAAATCTAATCATACAAATTGCAAATATTTGCATGAATTTTATTGATTTATCTCACTTTAATATATCCTGTTTTTTTTTCAAGGATCATTGTAATAATTTTTTTTCTTTCTGCAGGCAACCAAGCATAACAATCAATATGGCCGCATGGGTGATGAACATGTTGCTTAGCAACAGAATACAAATTGCATAGCAGCAGCCAGATAACTGTTACATGACCTCGTAATTTTATGATCAGCAGCAGTCTTGTACAGGATTCAGAGTTATTTTATATGAGGGGGTTGAACAATGAGATTATGTACCTTGAGATTTCTAAAGCTATTTACGATGTCTCAGTAATTTTAATTTTCATGATCTGTACAGCAGAAATGTTTTCCATGTTTTTTTAAAAAGTACACAATTATATATATACATATACTTATATTATATATAAATGCAGATTACAGTAAAAAATAAGTTACTGCTTTTATTTAAAAAAATGTCAGTCTCATACCATTTGTTTGGTAGCAGCCGCTTTATCATTATTCACATAATATCAATAATTTATTAAAACACACTAATTCTGCTAATTATTATTAAAATTATATTTTTTTTAAATTTCACAATTCTAGTACAATATTATATTTTTATATTATTAATTATAATATATATGATTTTTTTGTAATATTTGTAAAAGGAGAATATTTAATTGTCCATTCAGTACCTTTCAGTAAGTAATAGGTGTCTACAGTCTTTATCAGTTTGTTGTGTTATGTTATCTATATTAAACAGAATTTGGAATGAAAAATTAATATTTCATATGAACTCATAATCAAGTAATTTACTGTGGTTAAATTGATGAAAAAAACAAATTAAACTAACTTATTAAATTGTTGAGTTGCACAATAATTTTGTGTTTATTGCCATGCAAATAAATTGGCTAAATTAATTTCTCATGATAATGAAATATTCAGTTTGTTATTTGTGATTATTTTATATAATTGGACGAAAGACAACTGCTTTAAAAAGCTGGTTAACAGGACTCGTCTCTCTGGTGCCAAAAGGTGCAACTATCTAAATTACGCTGATATATATTTTGCCATTATATTAATTATTTTTTAAAAAGCCATCAAAAATAATGAAACAAAATAAATTGTTTGGTAATTAGATCATAATTATTATTTAGGGGCAGGCATTTTTTTTTCTGATTTGAACATCAACATCACCCGCCAAAAAAAAAAAAAAAAATGGCATCGTATTTAAGAAAAATAGAAATGATGATCTGTTAACACTATTTACATTTATTTATTTAAATGCCACCATTTCTCCATTCAAATTGATCCACATTTTTGAAATAATATGGAAAAATTTGATGGGTTAATTTTGTGGAAAGTGACAAACGATGACTTTTAGCATTAAAATTGTCAAACATGTTCCTGTCAATTATATTTTAAAGGTTTATCTATTTTACTCATTTCAGACCTCGTTATTTCCAGAATAATGTACTACAAGTATATATATTTTGTTAACAGGTTATCTTAGTAATTGATTTTTTTTGAAAATATGATAAATATATGGTTTTTAATCTGAAGGCTAAAAAATCTAGATTTTCCAATTTAAAATGGCCCCCAATGTCTAGTACAAATATGGAAGTATCACTAAATCACTGTTACCATGGAAACAACCTCTGAGATCCTGGATCTTTTTTATTTGATTTGATTTTGTCATGAAACTTGTTGTTTGGCAAAATTTATAACAAATCAAATTAGAGTGCGGTTTTATTTATCAAATTATTCACAAACCTACTTCAGAGTACTTGTACATTGGTGGACTATTTAGTCTGCTGACTGAGACTAGAAACCTCATTAATAATACATGCAATTGAATTAATAAGGGCATGTGTTACTTTTTACAATGTACATGTTTTTTTCTGTGTAAGTACATAGCTTTTATAAAAGATAGATTTTTTCTCTCACGCCAGTGCACTGATTGATTTTTCCTCCAGTTTTTTTTTTTTTTTTCTAACACTTGTCGCTTTCTTTGAAGTATTTCCAATATACAAATAAACTCTTTTATCTGTCAGCGACGGCCTAAAAATAGTAAATTCTCTAACAAATAGCTAAGCATCTTTTATTGTCTCTATATTTTTTTCCTTTTTGCATTTATCAATATTTTGGCAGAAACCATGGAAAAAATGAAACAAGTCTGTTTTGGGATTTGTTATTCAACAGAGAAAGGGAGAGATTGAAAATGATGACTGTTCAATGAAGTGGATCGGCAGGTGTTACAACCAAGTAATTTATTATGCTTTAAATTTGTTAAAAGTAGTCTTAGTCAAAACATAAGTGTACTTTCCTTGGTATACCTGAATTCTAGAAAGTATTTGCGTGTGCCCCCTCCCTGTATTTCAAGCGAAATCGAACTGTCCCTTGTGACACCAGAGCTGAGGACCACATGTTACAAATCACTCATTGGATTATGTTTAAAATATATAGTACCTTTGTTAAAATAATAACTCCATTGATATTGAAAATATTAAATATTATCTTTCATCAACATCACTTTCAACCGCCATTAACAAAATTAACTGTACCCCCAAAAAAAACCGTGGGTGACCGCGAACGCTCAAACAGCTTACCTTTTTTTGGCTTCGTTCTATGGATCGGTCCGCCGAGCGCAGCGAGTGGGTCCCTTTTCTTTTTAAACGACGTCGTTATGAGACTTTCTGTACTGATCATGTGTTTCTTTTTCTTATGTTTTGGTTGTTTAGTCCTGTGAAGTTTGTAAAACGTATGTCCGTGGTGTTTAAAACCGGCCGTTCGCACATATGTCGGCCCGCTGTTCGTACTGCTGCATGGTGACGTGGGACATGCGTCCTCCGTACTGTTGGCAACTTCGTCGTGATCGGAGCAGTCCTCGTCTGAGCTGCCGCTCAGCGCTAGAGTCGGTCCTCTTTTCCCACTCATTGCATGAAAATTCAGCTCTTCTTGTATATTGATCAGTTCACTCTCTGTGACTCACCACCCGCCCAAATTTCTAGATTACTTTTGGCGGGTTTCTTGGGTTAGCATCATTCAACGAACTTACCGACGATCGACAACTTCCATTGGATCTCCCCTTTACTTGATTTATCTAAAATAATGCAGGTTTGTATGAAGAATAGATGAATGTGAGCTTCTGTTTCTACAATGCTACCCCAGTAGCTCGGTGAGCTGTGCACATCGGCGAGCTATCGACTTGTATTATCACCAACATGCACACACACACACACACACACGTCGACGATCGAGGCGAGAACGTCTGCACTCCCGCTAAAACTAACCGATCATGGACGGCTATTCCCTCGTCATCTACCTTCTAATGAGCGCGAAGCCAGTATATAAACAAAAGCGCACTTCTGTGCAATGACTAATCGAAATCCGTCCCTGGGAATAGTATAAAACGTTCAGAAATAGCGTTTTTCGGCCTCAATCCACGATGATACAGAGTTGTTTTGGTGCGTTGCTCTATCAACAGTTTCTTGTAACTAAGTTCATGAGCTAATCAGCTGACCTGAATCCCGCGAGCTGATTGGATGTCCGTGATGTCACTGATCCGGCGAACATATGGGTGAAGTCAATCAGTACGATAATAAACAGTTGCTCGGCAAGTTTTCTATAAAACACGACCAAATTGCCACGTTTTCTTCAATCAAACAAGTTTCTGAGTGGTAACACCTTCACTCTGAGCCGTCATGTTATATACGGTACAATAGTTTCGTCCGTGACAGGTCAATAGCCGAGCGGGGTTTTAATATTTCAAGTCGTGTCTTGTTCTAATGACACCGGCGTGGCCGATCCCTTTTAATGACAGGTCACGTTTCTAATAGTAGAAGGGTCGTGCTAAGTTAATGAGTATTGTGTCCAAACTCTATTCGATTCAATTGCGTTATCATTGTTCCCGGTGTTTATACTATTACTTCACACAGTCATTGTTCTATCGATAAGTCCTTGACGCAATCTTGTCAGAACACGTTGAAATGTATAAAGCACGTCATCTGCCGAATGTAAACATCGTAAATGCCAATGTGGGCTGGCGCGGCGGTCAATGTCAATTTATTGAAGAACGCTTAAAACTCCTCGAAGGGAATTAAAATGGTTACATTACAAAGAAAACAAGCACTCGGTGGGAAAACGTCAAATCTAGACTTAACATAACGGAAGACATTACAAGTATTTTATTACCAGTTGACAAGGTCGATTATAACAGTCCAAAACAACACTTGAAACCTCAGGCTGTTGTCCGGAGATTTAAAATGTTACAACGTTATACGTTTAAAAGAATAACGATGACGTATCTTGTGTATAGGCGCGCGGTTATCTCGATCAACCAATCAGCTTTACTGAATTATTAAATATGTGCAGATTTTTTTATTGGATGAAAGAAGAAAATTATTAAAAGTTATTATCACAATAGCCTGGGACGCACGTAACCCCCGGAGCGAAACCTTGTAAGGTCAGTAGCCGAAAGGGGGTTGTATCCAAGTGTAATACATGTAATAACAATATAGACATTTTATATAGTAACCAGTTTAAACAAAATTTGACGGAATGTTATGAAAGAAATTAGTATACTGTTATTGGTATTCTAATTTCTTTCATAACTCGGATTAGATAAAGATCAGAACTCAGAAATTTATTTATTTATTTATTTATTTATTTATTTATTTATTTATTTATTTATTTATTTATTTATTTATTTATTTATTTATTTATTTATTTATTTATTTATTTTGAATGAATGAATGAATGAATGAATTGTTTAAAGATGCAGGGAGAGAGATTATATTCCTTAGACAATAACATATTTTGACACTTTCGAAAACCGTGATTTTTAAAAATAAGAACAGCTTATTAAGTTAGAGATCCAACATAACAATTAAATCACCATCCTCGAAAATGTCTCGACTGACTGTAGCTTTTCTTTATAATGTTGTCATTACTTTGAAGTAAGGAACAAAACGAGAAAGGTCACCGAACTCGTAAATTGTATTATTATATTATCCAAAATAGCCAATCAGGGTCATTCTGAATAACAATTGGTGAAATATGGGTCATTTGTGAAGCACTGCCTTTTAATCAAGTTTCAAATTTACATTGTAATACAAATCTCACGATTCCAGTAAATTAAATTGTGGATTTACACTGCAATAGAGTTGTTTTGTTGTTACCTTTTACAGTCGACTGTACTTCATATACTCAAATTTTACACTCGACGCAATCGTCCCAAAGTTCATCTCAATCTCAGTTCCGATCGTATACGCCATCACAATCATATTTAATTATTCAAGGGAAGAAAAAACAAACCAAAACTAGGGGAACAAATTTAATGATTGTTTGTGGTTTCCGGGCTTCCCGTCTCCTTGAATGGTCTCATGCCACTAATTAACCAATGGCTGCTCATTTAAATGCCTAGCAAGAACCCAGGCGATTACCATGCTATTTTAGAGATCGTCGCTGATTTTATAAATTTGAGGCGCATTTTACAAAATAACGTACCATTTATTAGCTTGATTGGATACTGAAAATAAAATCCCAATCACATCAAAACAGCAATTGAACAAATCAGTATAACCCCGTCCTACTTAGAAAAAAATATAGATACCAGAAAATGCTTCCGTTTGAAATAAATTCAATATTTGTCAATGTTTGCTGAACTTTCACACATAATCGTTGACACATTGACACACTGTTGACGACTATCGCCAGACGCGAAGTCCGTGAATTGAGTGACACAAAGTCCCGTGACGAGATGTGAAAACATATACATGTACGTGCATAAACTAAACATCAACAAGTAACCGAAATGTTATATTAGTTATTGTCGATCATAATGTAGTAAGTCGTGCAATGCAACACAATTTCTGAATCTTTGATTGAACGTACATACTCAAGATCTGGTGAAGTCGATGTACAAATTTTATCGAATTTAGTTTAAATTACTTGCTTATTAAAATAAATAAATAACTATATAAAATACACTGCTTACAAGTATTAATTTATTATTTTCTTTTACTTAAAAAATAAAAAAAATAGAAAATCAGCAAAATGGAAAATAAGGTCATATTGATAATGAATGCCAGTTTCTAATAGAATATCATAAACACAATGCCTGTCGAAAGATTCTGTTCGTATTTGTTCTGTAATTTATGTTTGTTCCTGTAACCATCGTCACCCCCTGTGGAATGTGCAAGCGGACTATGCTACGCGTGTAATCTGTTTCAATGGTTCACGTTATAAATAACCATTTAGAATGCATCGGATGGGGGTGTTGCTTTGCACCAAGCGAAATATTTAAATTTTGTGTTTTTTTCGAACCTTATTTTATAATTCAGTTAACATATATGCAGTAGCCGAAACAAGGACATGTTTTAGTGTCGATGTAATTTTCAGTTATATTCGTATTTAATTAATATATATATATATATATATTCTCGTATATATATGTTTTAGTTCTGTAAGGTTTGTTGTTGAGTGTTTTATTTTTTTTTATTGGACATAACTCAAAGTTTCTTTGGTACGTTCCAAAAAATATCTATCTTATCTTATCTTATCTTATCTTATATTTTGTGGAGCATAGAAGTTTGGGCCCTGATTACAAAATCGATTTGACGAAATTGATAAGTGACTCTTGGATCCCCCATACCGATAGCCTGTTCACAGACCCTCTGTGGCGTGGTCTGATTCGTGATCTATACTAGTATATGGTGTTACATAGCAAGCAAGTGTTTGGGTGAACTATTTGTAGCATTTGTAATTCATGGGAGAAAATGTCAAGATGTTTATGTGACTATGCATATTATATAAAAAATAAACACATTTGGGTTTAATGTTCAACTCTATATAATGATATTACATCTATAACATAGTAAATAATATACACACAACTGTTTCAAATTAGGAGGAATCGAAATAAAAACCAATTGTTAACAATTCTATTTTTTTATTGTTATATTATAATTATTTTCATGTTTTTTCCACAATCATTTTACTGATAGTATTTGTCATTCAGGCGTGTGTGTTTTTCCCCCCCTTTCGTCTGTTATGTTTATCTGGGCTCGTAGCATAGGCCCAAACACAACCATTGGTGGCGCTGTTTAGTTTCTAAATCTGTAGTGGTTCGCAAACGAAGACTTACGGTATAAGAAGCAGCAGAACTTGTTAAATCTGGTAACCAGTTAAATTAGTATGGTAGAAAAAGTGTACAGTCTTCTAATAACTACTAGGATGGAGGTCGAGGCCGAAAATATGTGCTTGCGGCATTTCATAATAAATGCTTTCTAATAAATAATATTCATGGGATATGTTTTACGTCATAACAGTTATTAGCATATTGGGCCGAAATTCGGCTTCTAACCACTTGTGTCATTAACAGAGAAGAACGGGAGGTAACTTTATTTTGAATTAGCAATAAACTGTATGTTTTAATAGTACTGATAATACATTTGTTACCAGCATGAATACTGCTTCGATTCATTTACTCAGACATGTTATTGCATTTCTGTAACTGTCACTTGTCAAACACAGAAGCTTATTTTACTAACTCTATGTTTAGTTTTGTTCTTATTTTTGTATTTCTCTATTACTTTGTTGCCTAAGATGAATACTTTATGCGCATCATACTTTAAAGGGCAGTAGTCGTCGCGCCACGCATGCGCGAGTTATATGGGTTTCATCATAGTCTCATATAAACAAAGATGGCTAATTTGACTGTTGCGCAGATTAACCAGTAAAAACTGAGACGTTACCAAGCTATAATTAGGCATTTTTTAGGAGATTAGAAGATACCAAAGGAGTCACAGGCGTTAATAAGCGCAAGTCCTGCCCAGGTAAAATCTCATACTTGTGATGTCCATTAGAAGAGTGCATTGGATTGTGGGAAAATCAATGTTTATCAATACAAATGTCGCACATGCGCAGCGCGAAGACTGCCGCCCTTTAAGTCGTTCTTGTGTAATCGACAACGCGTGTGCCGTGGTATATAGTAGTGGTACAAAGTGTTCCATCTGGGAAGGAAGGGTAACGCCACACACCCGGTGTAAACTTTGGGCCACAAACTCAATGTTGTTTACATTGAGAAATTTCTACACACTTCCACCACGGTTACTAGTAACCTT